AGTCTCAAAGTGGGTTCCTTGTCATCCAATATAGGGATTAATTTTACCCCATTCCGATACATCAGATAAATATATATAGGGATTAATTATACTCCATTCCGATGCATCAGATAACTATATATAGGGATTAACTATACTCCATTCCGATACATCAGATGAATATATATAGGGATTAACTATACTCCATTCCGATACATCAGATAAATATATATAGGGATTAACTATACTCCATTCTGATATATCAGATAAATATATATAGGGATTAATTATACTCCATTCCGATACGTCAGATAACTATATATGGGGATTAATTATACTCCATTCCGATACATCAGATAACTATATATAGGAATTAACTATACTCCATTCCGATACATCAGATAACTATATATATAGGAATTAACTATACTCCATTCCGATACATCAGATAAATATATATAGGGATTAATTATACTCCATTCCGATACATCAGATAACTATATATAGGAATTAACTATACTCCATTCCGATACATCAGATAAATATATATAGGGATTAATTATACTCCATTCCGATACATCAGATAACTATATATAGGAATTAACTATACTCCATTCCGATACATCAGATAACTATATATAGGGATTAACTATACTCCATTCCGATACATCAGATAAATATATATAGGGATTAATTATACTCCATTCCGATACGTCAGATAACTATATATGGGGATTAATTATACTCTATTCCGTTAAATCAGATAAATATACATAGGGATTAATTATTGAAACTGCATTCTTATAGGCCCGGTATGGCCAGGTGATTAGGGCGCTCGACTCGCAATCTTTGAAGCACACCTCGGTTAAAAGCACCAGTGTTGGGCTATCCTCATCAAGACTATCCCTTCATCCTGGATACATACACCTGTGATAGTAAAATTAGTGCATTTTTTTCACAAGTGCAGAACAGTATGAAAAGCATGGTTGCATATGCAAGTCATATATCACGTCTTGCTACTGTACAGCAAAGAAAGAACTGATTGCAGTTGTAGTATTTGATAGCACTTACATGGTAGGAGATTCATATTCGAGTGGATCCACATCATCGAAGTGACAAATTAATTTCAAAACTCAGAAGGTATGATTGCATTTGGATGACAATGCTGCAAAAGTATAATCCATAAAGATCAAGAAGCTAACTTCATCATCCAGTTGTTCGAAGAGTTGTTTTGAGTATTGGGTGTGATGAAAAATGTATATTTCGTCATATCTTCCTCAGTTTGATGGTTTGACTGAACAGGTAATATAGACAGTGAAACGTATGATTGCTTAAATACGCTAGTCATGACCATAATTATTGGAATAAGTGCACCTACAATGTGTCATGATTGTGTATTACACACTTAGCAACAGTCGACCAGTTGTTTTCCAAATCTTCTGATGCTTAAATAAGAAGTACAGCTTCCAGTGGATATGATGTATACAGCAAACAACCCAGTGCTGATGCACTGTACTGTTTACAGGAACGTGAAGAAAGGCTATGCTCTGCAATAGGTAAGCACAAGAATGTGCACAACAGTAAGTGGGTGTGATGTCAGTGTGTCAATATTATGAACAAACTTCGAGGCTGATGACTGATTGTAGTTGTGGTAAGCACCTGAAACAAAATAAAAACAATTTGGTTGTGGCTGAAGTAGTCCATATATTGTCTGTCCGCCGTTCAGTGAAGTGAATTAAGAGTTCTAACAGTTACACAATGTGTTTATGTACGTCAATCACGTTAACAGTCTTAGACTATACATTACTGAGAAGCCTTTAGAGAACTGATGACTTCATGAATCAGAGGCAGATGAGCACGTTGACTCTCGATGACGAGAGTACTGTTTCATATGATCTCACTTCAGCTTATGCATAGATAAAACACTAGTAAAACATATCTAGCTGTTCATGAGGAATCAGTCGTAGAAATGCTGGTAGTCGTCAAAGATAACAACTTTCTAATCACTGGAATAAACTAGTTGATCAGCAATTAAGATGGTCATTTGGTTGAAAACTTAATGACTGAAAGGAAATGTTTTTCTCTGTTTTCCAAGCTCTCTGATGATGTCCACTTTATAATTATTGTCACTTGATGACTTTAAAGTTAGCATACTTACTTACTAAGTTAATGGTGTTCCTTATGTGGTATGTCTTGTGATAGCCACTTATCTTACATTTAGGATAGTTGGTTACAAAAATCAGCAAGTGAAGGGCATTGCAACCTTTGCTTTCTAAGTTATCATTCAATATTCTGTAGCGAGACATTAGTTAAATTATTTGCAATAATCGTTTGGTTTATATAGGGAGTTGTAGCAGAATTTCGGCATAGCATACTTCAATAAACACGTTAGATACATAACTAAGGTGGTACTTTTAAATGAAAATCCCAAGAAAAGTTACAGATGTACTCAATGTTTAATTATGACCAGGGATTCTGAAAAATATGCTGAAAAACTTTGCAATCCTTGTTTTATGAGCACTCATGTTATGTTTTGTAACGAATGTTGGTGAACTTTTGTCTGTAAAAACTTCTGAGCAAACTTGCAATCTTGTAAGCTAGAACGACTTTGTGTTGTGTCGCTATACGAAATTATGCCTGTCAGTCTAGTTGATATATACCAGAAGCGCCAGGAGCACAATAAGAGAATTGTGCTATAACACAGCACGAGAAATAAAAACGGACTGTGTAATTAGACTAAATATATACCATTTAGCTAGATTTTTGTGTTTATATGGGTGATGCTTGGTTTGTTTGTTTGTAGTTAAGCACAAAGCTAAACAATGGGCTATCTGTGCTCTGCCCACCACGGATATCAAAACCCGGTTTCTAGTTGTGAGTCCGCAGACATATGGCTGTGTCATTGGGAGGCTATATGGATGATAGTATTAACGGGATAACATGGTAATTCGAGTTGATTGCCATATTATTATTATGGCAAAATAAATTTTCTATCATTCCTTGTGCAAGTAATACATTGGACTTGGTGAACATGCATGTATTTTGGAGTTGACGATGCGCAATGTGATATGGATGGATGTGTATAACAGAAAAGGCTAGTTCTACTTATTTCTATGTATGCTTTTGTTTCCGTGAGTTCAAGTCAGAGTAATTTTAATTCTTTAAAGTGGCAATTTGTATCTGTTACGCGTACTTCAGCAGGCATGGAAAGCGTAATTGACGGTAATATTTGTTCCATGGAAAACAAGCTAGCTACTAAACAGTGACGTCACGTGC